CATGCTTGATGAAACAACCCAGTTATGAAGAAGTGCGCCTCATATAATTTTGTGCTAAAAGAAAAAAGACGCATAATAGATTAGTAAGTCAAAGCTGTACAAATTACAAGATGATTTGATGGCTCATCAAGCAGAAAAATATGAGGCTTCTTGAAAGTTATCTTCGCAAATGCAACTCTGCTTTTTTGACCACCTGCCATATCATTAAAAGCAGTTCAAAATCTGATCGAACAGCACACTTTGAAGGCAATGCAACAGATTTTCAGCAACATTGTAGGGATAAATGGGGAAAACTTTTGTGTATCAAAGACATATGAATTGTTTCGGCCTAAAAGAAATGTTAAGTGTATCAAAGTTTTGGCTAAATGATTTTCCCGTTTGAGGGTCTTCCATTAAATAGAAATTGTATACATCCTAAATATGGAAACAAAACTATTTACAATAATTTACAATCAATTAGATAGATATTTATAGCAGATGCAATCTCCATAATCTTCGTAATCTTTGTCGTCATTCTTCAATCTCATTGACATCCCCCCTCAAATTAATATTGGGCGATCAAGAAGCACGTTTTTAGGCAATGCACTCATTTCTTGGAAGAGTGAAAAACAAGACAGAGTTTCCAAGTCCTCCACTGAGTCCAAATATCCGCCTGCTCTGAGATCACATGGCTTCGTGGTTTATTGGGTGAACTTGGTTTTCCTCAACTTCATTCCACTCCTCTTCATGCTGATAATACCAATGCTATTCGGATCGTCGCTAATCATGTCTTCCATTAGCGTACAAAACATATCGAAGTTGATTGTCATTCCATACGTGATTCCTTTGAGGACATGATTAATCTTCCTTACATTTCCACCGAACATCAAACTACAGACATCTTCACTAAAGCTCTTTCTCGGCATTGGCATCAATTCTTGTTTCACAAATTGATGTGTCTTGATCTCCCAGCATCAAGTTGAGGGGGATGTTACGGAGATAATTTGGGATCTGATTTGTATTATTTTTGGTATGAAACTTCGACTGTAAATATACTTACCTTGTATAGCATTTTCTCCTTTTCTATATAATGAGAAGAAACCCTATTGAAAGG